TCCTTAGAACCGTTTTTCTTTTGATTTCCTAAAAAGGAAATTTTTACGAATTTTGTTGGTTGTGGGAAAGAGTTTTTGGTAGCATATATGTATATTATATTAATAAAATTTTATATATAATATACTTAGTCAATTAAAATAAAAAATGAAAATAAATCAAGTAAAAGAAGAATAATAAATAATTATCTTTATAAGGATGAATTTTAAATAATTATTTTAATTATTTTATTTGTTATAATATATAAAAAAACAAAAGATTTTATAACAATATAATTAATTTGATATTGTTTTAAGTAAAGTTTTTTTAATAAATAATTATATTTTATAATTGTATGAATTATTTTGAATTATTTTGATTTATATGTAAAAATTAATTAAATATAAAAACTTATTATATAAAAAATTAAAATTATAATATTATAAAATCCATGTGTATATACAACTTAGCCCTTAAAAAAAAGAAAAAAAAACCATACTATTATGTTATAATAAAATTTGTATATTATTTTTTAAGTTATAATTTAAATATTAAATAAACACTTTTTATATTTTTATTAATATAGTAAGATTTTATTACATAATTAATATTAAAATGTTAAGATATATTGCTATTGTAGGAGTTATAATAGCAAGTCTGTTGCTATATTATAATTGTAATTATACAATATTTAATAAAGGCATAGAAACATGAAATGAAGTAAGTGAGAGTATTAAATAATAATTTAAGTTATATTTTTAAAGGACAATTTATTATTATTTATTTTTCTAGTATATTTCTCTCTTTTATACACATTAGAAAAATTTAAAAATTTTAAAAATCTCTTAAGCTCCAATTAAATTCTAATTGAATAAGGGTAATATATATTAAATCTATTTAATTTTTAACTCTTTTACACTATACATGTCAATATATTACTATATTAAATATATTTCTGATAAAAAATCTTTAAACAAGAAAAAAAAACAACTATCTAATTTTGAAAAGTTAATATTTTCTTAATGATTTATTTTATTCTGAAAAAGTATAAAAAAATTTTGAAAAAAAAGTTTAAGAGTTATATCAATTAGTTTGATTTGTTAAAATAATTTGTTATTATTTGTTAAATAAATTTTAATTTGTATGAATATTGTAAGATTTTTTACTAATGTTGCTTTTTCTATGTTTAATATTTTTAAAATGTTGAGGAGTTTTTTGTTTTTAATTATGTTTTTATTTCTTGGAATTTTAATAGGTTGATATATAAGTTTAATAGTTTATTTGAGTTTCATTAAGCCTTTTTAGATCTTGTTAAGTTAGTTTAAAAGTGTTAAACAGATTTTTAGTTGAAGTATACCTGTTACAATATTAATTAAATAAATTGTAAAGTTGATTGTTAATGTATATTGTATTGAAAAGAATTCAGTTATGTTTTTTGTTTTTTTTGATTATTATTTTATTATTAATAAGTAATGCTAATTATTTTTTTTTGTTTGATTTTACTAATATTGTGCCATTTTGTTAAAATTGTTTTTATAATTGTATTAAAGAGATGTTTTGTTCTAGAGATTGAAACCAATTTGTATGATGTAATAAGAGTTGATATATAGAAGTTCCCCTGGAAGTTTGTAATGACCGTTTGGTTCTGAGCAGAAGTTGATATTGTAAGACTTGATAAAATGAATTGGGTAGGTTGATATGTTGTGTTTTGTTTATTATTATTATGTATCAATTATTTGCTATATATAGTATAATAATAATAATAATTTAAAACCTATAATAACTTATTACAATGTATTTGTTTTTTAAAAAATTCTTAATTGTATAATACTTCTGTTTGATTTTACTATTAAAAATTAAAGCAAAAACATAAATTTTTATACAAAATCTTAAATATTTCAATCAAAAATTTTCAAAAGACAATTGTTATTCATATATTATTGATAATAATATTTGATATATTTTTATGTTAGATCTTATTTTTCAAAAAATATCATCTTTATTTTCAAGATTTTTTATTTAGAAATGTTTATGCTTAGTTCAAGATTGTTTTTTTTTATAAATATGAAATATTATAAATATTTTAGTTTTTAAATTACAATATTGAAGTCTTGAAATATGAATAAACGAGATTTGAGGAGAATTAATTAACTTTACTTCGATGGCTTCGTCCTATAATTAATAATTTTATTACAAATAATATTCAATCATGAATTACTACTTAGTTTTCAATTATGGAAGTTTGATTTTATTTAATAATTTTATTACTATTCTTGTATACATTTGAATATAAAAATTATGCTCACCAATCTTACTATTTTTACTAAAATAGTTATTCCCTAAATCCCAAGGATACTAGAAATAAGAGGAATTCCCATGATTTAGGGATTTCGAAAGTTAGCGTATCACGTGATCGGTGTCGATTCCGAAATTTACGTTGCCAATTGATCTTGAATATTACAGCATTAGAATTCGACTAAACATTCCTTCATACTAATTATATAAAAAATATTATTAAATTGGTGATGCGCGATATTTAATGAAAAAGATGTTGACCAACAATTATAGCATTTGGCGTTAAAATATTTGTTCACGACACAGTATCTTGACAATAAGTGAAATAAGATTATTTAACAAAATTATCTATGGTAATAGAATATATTGATTTATAACCATTGATTCAGGCTAGCGTGGGGATTTGTTTTTTTTAATATCAAAATAATTTAAAGCGAGACAGATTATTTTCGAATTACGATTATATTCGATCGTCTGGTTTTGCGATTATTCTAAATCGATTTTCTTTAAAAAATTTTTTTTTCTTTTTTCCTTCATTAATGAAATTCAATTTTTCAGAACGCCAGTTTCCTTATATGGATTTAATTTTAAAATATTGTCAATAGTTACACTTTCCTCCAACTCACATGTGAGTTTTGATGCAACCAAAATAATACAAAAAGAAATTCTGAAACATTCCATCTGTTATATCAAAACTGTTTACTGTAGTTCACCAATCCGTTAAGGAAATAACACATTTGATTGAAAGAATCAATGACACTATAAAGTAGTAAATAAATGCTGTAAGATTTACCACAATGAACTATTGCCGTTTTAGTCGCCGGCTCATTTAAGCCCATGAAGTGAAGAATGTAGAATTTTTAGATATTCATTTAAAGTATTGCTATTATATCATTGTAGTGGAAAATTGAAACAAAACTTAGCTTCTAGGTCTAATCTTACATTATCCAGTAAGCTATGTGTTAAGTTGAAAAGTGGTACCTGCATGTCATTGTGTTTTATGTTGTATAGTATTTGAACGCATCCCTTCGAATCGAGAAGTTCTAAGGTATGCAGATCGGATGCCATACTCGAGAGGATTTATGCGGTACTGTCAATTATATTTATGTAGGGGAGGCATACTATGATTTCGCACATTATCTTGCATCGTGTTGTAAGTTTCGCAATTAACCGACGGTCAATCGACTAGACTTCTTTTTACACCACTACTTTATCTTCGGAAGAGTCGGGTGGTGATCGTCACTGTACTAGGTCATAAGTCCCAACACTGCATACGGTACAGTATACGCAATAATCAACAGGTACATACACATACATGCATGTGTGTTCCTTATACCTTTTCGAGTTCAGTTTGTGGAGGAAACGAATATCGATATGCGTTATACTGCATTGATGTGATCATTTAAATTTTGATTTCTTGTATACAGTATACAGTACATACGTACAACCTACTATAGTACAGTGAATATCGGCCGATATGTAACAAAAACTAATACTATTCGTACAATTAGAAATTATCTACACGCCAATTTTATTTTATTCTGAGAATACTGTACCTATCGGTATTTCTCTTTTCTTTTTTAAAAAATTTTTCTTTAGCGTGAAAATGTCGCCGATTATCAGAGGAAAAGTCCGTGTCTACACTACCCTTGCATGCGAACAATGCAAAAAATCCAAGACCAAATGTGTTCAATCACCTAATATAACCATTCCGATTATTAGCGAGAAGGGTCTTTCTGGTAATGATGATAGAAGTGAAAGTAGTAAATATTGGGGTAGTAGTAATTCTAGTAATACTTTAGTCAAGCAAGAGATTTTGAACGAACAAATAATGCAAGCAAACTCATTCGTAGATGTAATCAAAAAGGATACCAAAAGTAATGAGGGGAAAATGGATGTCAAGGAAAAGCAAGGAGTTAATAGTGAGGTGAATCTTAATTTCAATGAAACCTCGGAGACGGGTAAATGCGATCTACCAAATATCCAAGCTGGAGTAAATAAATCACTCCCAACCTTCCCTGCCTATATAAACTTCTCGGTTAACATAAACACTAAAAATCAAGTGAATACCGCAGATAGACCTCGTTGTGAGAGATGCAAGAAGCATGATCTCAAATGTGAATATGTAGTTTCTTCTAAGAAGCGTGGTCCTAAAATAAGGAATTCTAAAATGTTGGTGGAGAATCTTATTAATTTATAGCTTATACGTAATTATAACATTCCAAATCAACAATTATGTATAATTATGAGTCTTAATAATTATTTACTAGTATGAATCATGTATTTATGACTATTGTATGTACTATGCGTTTGTTTATTTAGATGCTAGTGATTTTTGCTTTAGAGATTAAAGGTACTTGACATCTGATGAAAAGTTATAAATGTTTAAGCGGTTAATGTATTTGAGGAATAAAATAAGAAACAAGGGACTCGCAACACGTTTTCATGAAGTTATAATGCCGCAATGGTTTATTGTATTTTGCGCGGAGGATATGTTGGTTTTTTGTTGATAACTCATTATTAACGAAGAAATTGGTTCAATGAAAAAATTTTAAGTTTACACTTTGCATTTTATACTTGTTGATAAATATGTGCGTGCGCATTTTTAACTAGGTAACACCAATTCTATTGTTTGATATTTTATCCATTTTCTATAAGATACATATTATATGCTTTCTGGTCAAATTTAATAACAATTTAAGCATAACAAGCGGCTGGAAATACTCCCCGCGTTACACACAAGTATAAATTGATGAAATCAAATGCTTGCGATGAACTTTAATGTCAAGGTATTTGTGATTTTTACGTAAAAGGAGATAGCAGATGTGTTATGTAGATTGTGCACTGTTAAAAGTTCCCTTTACTCAGCAGTTTCATTGCGTTACGATCAAACTCACAGTACTGAGGTATTTTTATCTAAATAGATTTGTAAACTTTAAAAATCGCTTATCATATCGACACGTTTGGCATGTGTTTGTTTCTTTATATACACGTACGTAACGTGTGTATCATATGATGATAATATGCAGTTTCTTGTATAACGAGTGATTGTTGTTATTTGGTAGGCTTGTTTATAAGTGCATAGAATCATCTCAAGTTACTTTGCTGAATTTCAAATCGTAAAATAATAACCAATGTGCATAAGATGTTCCCTTGGCGTATTAAGAATTATACACGCCTCAGTTTGATAACATTAATCAATGTTGTGTAAACATCAAGGAAACTCAACTCACAAACTCTATGGATAAAATGTACGCATAAATATTTGATCCAGCCATTCGGCTTAACGTCTTAAAGATTATTGAGAACATTTATTACACCTGCGGACTTCTTTCTGTCATTCCCTTTTTTTTGAAAAAAAATAAAAAACAAGTGGCTTAAAATTTATCAAACAAAAAATCAAAGCCATAAGCAAATTCCATGTCAATACAAACAATTGTTTTTGCTGATCAGGTATGAATAGATTTTGGTCGTTATGATGCTGTCCTTTCTTCACTTCTAAATCAATTCCAAAGATGAAATCTGACATAAATATGATTAAAATTATCACGATTCTTGTTCTCACGGCATATACTTCTATGGTCGTTGCTGGTAACTCTATGCTTTTGCATTGATGAAAATTTGGATTTAGAACATACTCAAATTTTATTAAATCCCGCGTTTCCTTCAAAGTAATCTCAAACATCACGCTCTCTTCGGATCAAGTACCTAAAAATTCTACTCTCACCGTAAATTGGATATCCGACAATGTTGAAACCTCGAATTTTGGATATTTGCTTCTTGTTAACACTCAGGATCAAAGCGTTACTGCAATAGATAGTGGCCTAAATATTAGCAAATTGTCAGAAAGTTTTGATGTCACCAAAGAAGCAGGAACTTATTTTTTGGTCATCGGAGACGGCCTTGGGGGCGAATATTACTCCGTAGATTTTGTTGTTGCTGATGAAACTGGTAGATCAATCAGTCCCTTCGATGACATAACCATAAATATGCTAATTTAATGTAAATTATTGTTTTTTACATTAGGGACCACTGATACCGAAGAGGAGGAGGATGGTGGTGGTGTGTCTGCTGGCACCATTATTGTCATCGTTATATTAACTATATTAGTATTCATTTGTTGCTGCTGTTGCATTATTTGCGTATGTATTTTGAGATGTTTCACACACGCGATATTTAATGTCCCGTATAATGATTGAACTAATCTATGTATCTATAAAAAAAAAGTTCTGTGGTGTATTGTGCTTCGCAGGCGTCGGGCGTTCCGTCGGACAATCCGTCAGGCAAGCGCTAAAAATTTCGTTCATTGAATCCGTTGAAAAGGTTAGCGACAGAGTAAGTAGATCGATCGGTGAGTCCGTGGGAAAGTCGGTGGGTGAAACTTTAGGGAGATCAGTAGACGAGTCGGTAAAAACAAAGATGAGCGAGCGTTCTGAGGAATTGTATGAGTAGAAAACCAAAGAATAATGTTTCTATGAGTGATATGTGTTGTATATTGGTTATATATGTGTGTATGTTTGTGTGAAGCATTCGTTTTCTACTTCTATCATTTTTCATATAACAGCGTAGTGATAATCTCGATATCGATATTATTTGTGTTGGCGATGGACCATACAATTTGCGATCTATATAATACTAACCCACAAAAGTAATTTAAACTTGAGCTTGTTCGCAATTTCTAAATGGGTTCTTTTGATTTTATTTTATCAAAATCCATGATTTCGTAATTTGAGCTTTTATTGCAAGTTTATTTTTTTTTTGTTGTTAAATAAAATAATGATTTTGTAATATACGTACTAGGAAACGGAAACCGTTAGAGTCCGAAGCATTATTTTTAAACTTATTTTATATATGTACTTATTGTTTTGATCAAATTTTTTTAAACTTACTGTTTCAATGGAATTTTTTAAAAATTTCTTTATATACCACATTTTTATTAATATGCATAATTCATAAACCTACAGTAATTTCAAATTAACTATACAATTTAAAATATCGTAATATAAAATATAATATTATATTGTTCGTTTATTTTCATGATGACATGAGACCATTACCTAAAACCTTTCATGTTTCTTATGGTAAGAGTTTGACTTTATTCAATAATTTTTTGATGACCTTATTTATACAGATGTCTTTGATTACAAAAAATTATTCTTTCTATACCTACTACTGTATTTCTATTATTCTGGTTAGCTTTGAAGGAATAAAAAAAGATTTCTGGAATACAATTGTTGTGTCATATAATTGGCATTGATCTTGACCTTTATACTTATTACAATTCTTTCTTTTTATTATTATACAATCATTACATTTACAATTATTAGTTATAAGTAATTTTTTTTTAATTAAAAGATAATATTCTTTTATAAATCCATTAATCAATTAATTTATAATAAATATAGTTTTGGTATTTTTTGATTTTTATATTATTAAATAAACCTATTTTACAACCTTTTAAAAACCAAACTTTAAATAAATCTAAAATTAATTATAACATAATTAAATTTTTAAAAGAATAATCACAAATTATTTAATTATAATATTGAAATAAATTTTAATATTTATTTTATTTTTTTATTTTCAAACCAAATAATTATCATTATTAAATAAAACCTTTCTCACTTTTCTTTCTATGTTTGATAAATTTCTTTTTAAGTTGTTTAGATTTTTTTATTTTTTTCTTTTCTCTTTTTTTATTTTTTTCCTTATATTTATTATATATATATATATATATATATATATATATTGCTTTTACAAATCTTTTTATAATATATTTTTTTTTTGTTAAAATTGATTGTTTCTTTTTAAAAAATTTTCTTTTCTTTAAAAAAATTTTTTTAAAAAAAATATTATCTTTTATTTCATTATCTTTTAATTAGTCAATTCTTTTTTTTTAAGATTTTATTATAAATTAATTATTTTTCTTAAGATATAAACTTTGAAAAAAAATTTTTATAGTTTTTCAAAAAATTAGTATAATAATAATTATTATTATTATATTTTTTAATTAACAACATAAGTTTATTTACCATACTTTTATATTATATATATATTACAATACTATATATATAACAAAAGACTTATAACTAATGCTTGTCATGTTATTTTATTTTGAAAGATAAGTTATAGAGATTTAAGCCAACATGTTTAAATTATACTAGTAATATTAAATAATTTTTATATTTAAATTTTATTTGATATGGAATAATTAAAAAAAAAGAAAAAATAATATACTATAATAATATTTTATTTTATATATAATATTTTTATATAGAGTTTTTATTGAATTTATAACTATTATCTCCAGCTAAACTTTTAACTATTTAATTTCTTTGTTTTATTACTATTCAAAAATATTTAAGGTACTTATAACTTAAATTTACAACTTACAATTATCAATTTGTTACAAACATATACAATAGCAATAATAAGCATGTTTTTAATATGTTTTTTATCTATTATTACTGCCTTGGAAGAAAAAAATGAGAATTGTGTCAATTTAGACTCACAGTAAACAGTGTATTCCTATGAAATAAAAGAAAATAGGAACAGAATAAAGAAGAATAAAAGAAAATATTTAAAGAAATATCAAA